TAGAATAAGAATTTTCACAGATGAAACAAGGAATTTTACTGTAATATCATAATAATAAATGAGGCTTAAGACTTTTTGCTGAAATTGTACACCAGAAAGCGTGGCACTGAATACTGGCAGCTACACCTACCTCACTTCCCTACCACCCTTGAGAGGGAAGATTATTTTTTTTTTCCTAATTAAGCACTAAAATTTTAATAAACAACTTCAAAGAAGTTTTTATTTACTAAGGAAAATTCTATTAAAAATGGAGATTGAGTAGTAAAAAAAAAAAAATAAAAAAGACCCGATACCTCTTTTGAAGGCTCATAACCGGCAAAAGGCAGATTCTGAGCGTATCAAAATTCTTCCTGGACACATTTTTATAAGAAAATTGGAAGCAGCCTTAAAAAACACCCCAACAAATACAGACCTCACAGTTTAATAATTCATTTCAGTCTTCTTTGACTGAAAGTTCACAGAGTTGAAAAAAATTTGACAAAACCAATGGGTATGAAAGAACAGCCTAGAAGAGTTAATGTGTCAAAGTCTTCTTTATCAAATTACAGACTTTGCATGTGCAAGCACAGCATCATGATTTTGTAGTAGCACTGAAACACGAAAATTCTGCTTTATGTTGTAGTCCTGCTACACAAGCTTTACAGAAAAATTATTGAGGTGAGCATCCTTACAACTACCCATAGCTTGAGGTAGTTTTGAACAGGAAATGACTAATGCTTCAAGAGCTGTAAAATATATGTGTCTAAATTGTAATAGACATAAATCTATCTATTAGCATGGACGTTTTTAAAACAATTCGTATTTGGACTTTAAAAGACACGTCAGACTGATGTATATCCATATCTACAAGCATATAGCTGCCCACTATCAAAAGTAATATTGGGGCTTCTTACTTTTTGAGTATGTCAGCTGCTCTCATTCTCACTTATTCCAAGAAGTTCCTAACATCTGTGGCTCAATTAACATCCAGAACACTAAAAATGTGATGTTAACAAGACCTCATATCTTACGTTAAACAAATGAAGACAAAAAGCTCACATTAAATTAAAACATGCAATTTATTTCAATATATGCAGTTCTATTTGCCTGTACTACTCTTGCACAAACTGGCAACATGTACTTAAGTTTCAACAGAAATTTATTTTTCATTATGTTTCCCTACTTTCACTTTATTACCCAGTTGAGTGCATATGAGTCTGGAGTCATCTTCTTGGTATCAAGAAAGGAGCAGAGTTCAGGCTCATGGTACTGAAGAAGGAGTCTAAATAGATGAAATGGTCTTCCCTTCATAAAACAATCCCTAAAAGGTAGCAGTGAAAATAGTCATAAACTCTTCTGTAATGCTGCAGTTTTCAGACTTACAGTAGCAATTCTTTATCTCTGATTATGTAATTTCCTGTTCATTGTTCTTTTAGTTCACAGGCACTGAGCATGAAGTCAACCCACCTCAAGAGTTAAACCAAAACGAAACCAACACTGAAAACCCCATATATTAACAAGGCAGCAGAAAGAATGAAATACTGCCAACACTTGACAGATCATACAATACAGAAGTATTTAAACCAGATTTAAATATCAAACAAGACAAGCATGGTACCAATGCTGTTAACAGAATAATAGAATTTGAGAATAATTCTAATTAAAAAATATAAGTAATTCAATATTTTGTTAGATTAAATTCCCAATAAATATTTTATTACAGTTAGAAAAATATGAGTAAAAAGTATATGATTTAAAAAATCAAAAATAGCAAGAAGTTAAAACCATCACTTTCATCAAATAGTAATCATGGTCCAGCAGTCAAACGTCAAACGAAGACCAAACTGACCCAAGCAGAGGTTTGCAGGTCTCCTATAAGTTGCCTTTTTATGTCTTTCAAATTCTCTCATTGAAGAGAAAAGGTCAGAGGAAACAGAGGAAACAGAGGAAACACCACCTAGATTTCTACAGAGAAACTCAAGCAGCAGATAGTCTGAAAGCCCCTGAGTTAGGTGACCATAACGCCACTGTGACCGCCCAGAGCCCAACAGCACCTCAGATGAGACCTGGACACAACCTGAGTCAAGTGACAGGACTGGTAAATGCCTCCTGCCACAACAGCAAATGTGCACTTCTCATATTATGGCACATATCCATCAGCTGGGCTGGAGTCTCCTCTCCAGGGAACCAGACTAAGATCTTTAATTACAGACTATCCATACATTTATTTCACAAGGCCTTAATCAGAAGACACTACAGCCTTGCTGGAGTGTCATGGTGTTACTCTAACAGAAATAAAAACTTGTTTTAAGGAGATCACCAACATAAAAGCATGAAAAACTCCCACTTAATATTTTTTATTACAAATAAAAATATCTAGCAACTTAAAAAAAGTCATTACAGTCACAACTCAGCAGATTATAGGGAAAATATCAATTACTTCTAAAGAGATTTTGAGACTTAATTAGTGCTTATGAATTACTGGTTATGGAGAGATAGAAGTATTTTAGATACCAAAAATGGGAAAAACACTTTCCCATAACATATGTGAACTAATTCATAAATAAGTATTTTTGATATTGCGTTTTATGGCAGTTGTTCATTAAAAGGCACATCGAGCCTACGTCAGTCACATGCTAATTTTTTACATCTTAAACCAACTCAACCACCTCCTGGATTTCAGGCCAACGGGTACCAAAAGATGCTTCAGTTTATTAACACATGATGGCATCTGACCACTTTGCTACTTTAACCAAAACCAACGTGCACATCCTTTCAGAAACTACTCCCGGTGCCAATAAAAGTAGCACAGTGACAAAAGAAAGAGCCTTACCTTGGGATGAATTTATTCATGATAGCATAAAAACAGTTGTACAAATCACTGCGGGGCAAATGAAGGTGCACCAGGGGTTTGAGGAGGTGTATCCAGCCGAGGCAAGAACTGTATTTAACATTGCGGGATTTACAGTAAAACGTAATAACAGACTCAATATCCAAAATTAATACTGACTTCTCCTCTTCTGGCACTGACAGCTGGTCTGAAAGAGGCACAGAAATATAAGCTGTATTAATGGCTTTTTGAAGAAAGTGAATGAGATTATTTCATAGCACAATTGCACCAATAAGGACTGCTCAGGGGAAAAAAGCAATAAAAACAGACAAACAAAAGACTGGCAGTTTGGATTAAATGCTTACAGAAAGGTATCCAAAAAGGTATCAAAATACAAGTGATTTTATAACCCCAGTAGGATAAGGAATTTAAATATCATTTAAATACCACAACAACAGGATGAAAGAAGTTTGGGTTTTCCAGGATCTATATGAAACAAAGATGTAGATTCTTTTAATGCATAGAATTCCCCTCTTCTATTCCTATTTTATGTGCTCAGAACACAACTCATGCTCAACTCTACAACAAATTCATTTGAATTTCAACACAGATCAACCCACAATGCACACCTTTAATTCCTCAAAAGTCGACTGATATGTAGATTTATCCAAATCAGAAGTCTGAGATCAGCTAGGTTTACAGACTTATAAATCACATTTTTTTATGTCCAGGATGGAGGAAAGAGATACCTACACACTACATTAATACAGTGGCATTAAATTTCCAGCAAACATCTTTCTTCCTCAGTTACAAGAAGCCTGTGAGTCTCATTACTGTTAATGATATTTTTTATTACAGAAGTCTTTAATAGTTTCTCATCAAAGCCAGTCAATATTTGGGAATTCCTTTCCTCTACCCCTCAGGAAAATAATGAGTACTAATTGGGAAGTTTTGTTACCACTGTGAAAAGATCCTGTGATTAAATAACACAGTGGAAATTCCACTCTCATTCCTTTCCTTTACAGGACAGAGAGAGAAGGAAAATAAGCCCGCTATAAAGTGTGGAACTGCAGCATCTCTGTTCTCTGCCTTAACTTTCAACTATGCAAGAACAAATAAAAGTATGACAGGTTATACAATAGAAGATTCTTTTATGGATGTCATTAAGAAGTATCCTAATTTATGATGAGTTGGCACTGACTGCATCAGCTGATCACTGACATTAATGCTGTTTCATGGTGTCAGGGATTTGGCCATTTTTGTGACGAGCTGCCAAACGTATGCTGTGGCAGCTCCTTACAGACACACTGGAGTATTATTGCCTATGTCCTGGCAGCATCTTGCTTTCACAAACACAACCTTTCATTTTCTATGGAAACACTATTAAAAAATATTTTTCTGTAAAATAGCCTTTGAACTCCAAAATGTGTAATAAATTTCTTCCCTTAAAAGTTATATGCATTTTGCTGCTACACCAGTTTTTCAGATTAAGAACCAGTCACTACACAATTAAAAACCTGAAGGACACTATACAAAGAGTGTGTGCTTTAAAAGATGGAGCTTGGAAAGCAATGATGATTTTTTCAACTCATGAAGGTTTCTGACCATGCAAACTATCAAGCTAATAGTTTAAACTTCCATGATATCACCCATGCCAAGGTCAGAGTACAGGTAAGATACTACTGTTCTCTTACAATTTCTTACTGATTTCTTTCTGCTGTCTCATCTTCCTCCTCAAAGCTTCCTCCAAAACGTAAACATCATTCAGGTTATTTAATTCAAACAACAAAGTCTTAAGACAACTGAGAATGCAGAAACTTTCACACAGGTGATCTAAATGCACTTGAACTTACCAATTAGCTCTTGGCAATCCTTATGAATTATAGTCTGTTCAGGTAGGTCTAAGGAGCCATCCCAGGATGCAAGGCTGTCTCCCTTTCCTACAACATTAAGTGCAATCTGAAAACAAAAACAGAAAGCCCTCTAAACATTTTAGTGTCTTTTTGTAGTTACCCAATTACTGAACCCAGTAATTTAACTAAATAGAACTATTCTAAAACTGAATCAACATACATGCATATTAAAATTCCAGTAGTACAACTCTGCAGAGATGATTGGTAATTAACTCACTTGGCTCAAATGAAACACAACTTCAAGTATTTCCTGCTTCTTAATTTAAGCTCATATTCACCTTCCAGACTTTGGCCCTCAGATCAGCAGGTAATTGCCTTCCTTGAATGATGTTTCTCACAGTTTCAAGATCACAGCCTCCTTCTTCTAGAGCGTCTGCAAGATCCTTTATCCTAAAATAATGATACGTAATGTTAAAAATCAATTACACAATTTTTTTCAATGTTTATTATTAAATAGATTTAGACTGAAGGCTACTGTCAGGCAAATCCCACACATATGTAAAGACATAAGACAACTTGGCAATTACTAAAAATAAATACTTGCAAAGTGTTATTTATTCCTTTTTTTTTTAAGGCTGCTTGTTCAACTTCTAATTCCATTCAATTTACATACAAGAAGAAAAAGTTTGCTTTTTCGTTTTCTTTAAGTGACAAATGTTGCAAGATGTATCAGAGAAATGCAAATTTAGTTGCAGTTTACAACTTTCAGCAACTTTCCATTTCAGCATATTTTCACACACGCACAAAGCAAACATTACACCTACATTAGATGGTGGAGTTATTTTTAAATAAAGTATTAGATGACCTAGAAAACAGAACACTTGTTTCAAAGGTTTAGAACAGTCAGTTTTTAACCTCATCTTTCCCTGAAATGGGAAAGGAGCTTTTAGTCAAACTCAGATTTATTTAACTATCAAGTTCCAGTATTCTAAGTGTGGACATACGTACAAGACTGAACTAAAACAGATAAAAATATTAATTATAGTGTAGAGAGTAGCAAAATACACAAGACAGTCGAAGAGTAATGACAGTTGCCATAGTAAGACAACAAAAGTTCTCAAGTATTACAGATAAGAAGGTATGCATTCAGAAATTATTACTTTACAATCTCTCTGATAGCTTCTGCAGACTGTTTCAATTTTCCATGCTGTCAATAATGAGAGAACCACATCTGATGATTTCAGGAATTTCAATATCATGTAGCAGAGCAGTGGCAAAACACCAGGTTCACTGGAAAAACAGCAATGGCAGTGACACATAGGTCCCATAGGCAAAAATTCTCCCTTTCTACATCCTCTTAACTCTTCTAGCTCTGACACATGCCTTAGGAAAGGCTTTCCTTCATATACCTGACAACTTGAACACACAGCCAGGAGGTTTACAGCCAGAGAAAAACATACAACACAACTTTATCCAGGACAGATATTCAAGTGTGAAGATGCATTCCTTGTGAATAACACATCTATTTATACACACATGGAGTAACAGATGTTAAAGTGTTATCAGTGTAATTCTCAGTTACTCCACCTTACATACTATGCAGTCCATTCAAATACCCACAGAAAAAGAATGTCAGCTGTTGAACTCTTGTCTACTTGTTTAATTTGCATTTATCCACAACTGACTTCTTGATATAAAGGTTCACAAGTTTGGTCTCCTGAAAACTTAAAACGCATACTTCTGATTTTCTAAATATCACCCTTTTGGATAAACAGATTAAAATCTCACACCTGTAAGAATGTATGCAGACACTTAGCAATAAACAACAAGCTAGACTTACTCATAGACTTCTCGAAGTATTTACAAGTTTGAAGAGTAAACATTTTCCTTGCATTGTATCACCCAGCTTCTTTGTGAGTATTTTTTGGTAGCACTTTAAATCACATTTCAAATATACACTGGGGCACAACTAACTGTCTGCTTCCTTCAAGTAATTTTGCAACTTTTGATGAAAGAAAGCACAGTTTACAAAGAGACTGACTTGCCTTATTTTCTCACATTTTTAGTATTTAAAAAAAAAAAAAAAATCCCAAGGCACTCTTGTAGGACTCCAGGTTGCATGGGTTGATGACCCCCTTCCCGAGACAGAAATGGAGAGGAAGGGGAATATCCAAGTACACTTGTACTTCCATCACCTATCCTGTTGTCCAACTGTATATGTAATGACTGACACTAGAAAAGTTAAACTAATTAATCAGTTAACCCCAAATAAAAAAATCAAGTATTTCTAGGACATTTACACAAAGAGACATCCTAGCCCTCAGCAGAAGTTCATGAACTCTACAATGATCTAACTTTAACAGAAGTTACACATCGGCTCTTAGACATATTGCACATTTCTGTGAACAGTAGATACGACAGACTGGAGAGCAACAGGCCTTGAATTACAGCACACAAAATACAACTAGTTGCTACAAGTACTGTCCAAGTATTAAACAGGTATGCATGTGGAAATGAATGTAACAGCTGCATGCAAATTCCGCTTCAGCTAGAAAGGTCTTAAACTGCAATACTTAAACTTGGTTTCTATGTCACCCAAGGAAAACACTTAAAAGCACATCTACACTAACTATAAAATCACCCAGCAAAGAATGTTTCACAGACCCACAAGTCCTAATTCTACCAGTTACTAGTAGCCCATATTCATAGCTTAGAAAGCTGTGCATGTGTAAATATCAACTTCAACATGTTATCTGCAAATGTGTGCTTCTGCTGCTTGATAATATATTACCATTTGCAAAAACTTCTTCCAAGTACTGTCACCCCCACTTTGTACACCATAAGGATGACAGGCAAATGCTAGTTTTACTACTTCACCTTAAAAAACATGTCCATCTGCCACAAGAAGAGATGTGATGCATTATCAACATGGAGTTAAATGAAAAAACAGCAGGGGAAAAAAAATGCATTGTTCTATTGTGACTCAATTAGCTACTCTTTTCCTCCATCAACTCCCAAGATTGCTCACAGCCTGGAAGTAAGGAATTTTCAAAGACTGAGGACATTCTTTTTTAATTAATATTTTCTTCAGACTAACTTGCAAAGTACTAAGTATGAAAGTGATTTCGGTACTTTAACACGTGTCCACCGGCTGTGGTTTACCTTATTTCAGTCAGTGTTGTTCTGTAAATACTCCAGTAAACTGCTTGCAATCTGGATCCTTATCTTTCCTGAGTGAGGATCCAGCTAGGAAGTCTTCTATTCACAGGGACAATTATTAAACTTACTTTAAAAAGAATGCAGCACTTCTCCTTATTGGCAAATTCCCCCAGATCTGAACATCTGTACTTTCTGCTCCACCATGGCTTCACTGCCTATTTCTAGATGCTATTCAAAATCTTGGTTAGATGTGTAGAATTCTGGCCTATTCCAAGCCATGGCCTGAAAGGTTAATTCCCACATGACATACTGTTCTAAATGTCACAATGCACAATGCTCCTATTAGTATATCTGGAGCAAATTTCCATACTTGCAGAAGGATCTCTGAAATTCCTGCCAGTCTGGTGACATATCACAATCAATAGCTAACTACGTTCACAAATAGTAACAGGGCTTTTTTTAACTAAAACACTTAAGACAGGAGAGAAAACTGAAGGCATGGAAAATTGATCAACTGTTGGGAATTCAGATTAACCCACTTCTTGGGTTTTTTTAGGTACTATTTATATTGTGACTGAGGTTCTCGGCAATACTTATAAATCCTAATAGAGGGATTAAAAATGTGGGGATGTGAACATCAGGGAAAAGATAATAGGAAGTGACCAATAAACTACATATAGTATTAAGAATGCTACCATCAGTTTTATGCTTTTTAAAATCTGTTCACTCTGGTTTCTACTTTTAATTTACGATTTTCCTGACTACTGGGAAAAAGCTTCAGCAAAAGCTATATTACTTTGAAATTAATGAGTGCTTGTTCTCTATTGAAAGCAAACAAACAAAAATCAATCCCTCACATTTACTTCAAAATGTCCATTGTATTCAGAACACCCTTGAATCTTCTTTTTTTTCCCCAACGGAATTTTGGAGAAAAACAATTCTCTGACATTTTTACTTCTATTTTTTTTCCTCAAGTCCGTCAGTTTCCTGCTGGACTGGAAAGGAATTTTTTTGTTTGTGTGCTTTCAGAAGAAATATCATGGCTTCAAGCACTAATAAGCCAGATTCTGAGCATGGAAAAGGTATATGTGAACCCGATTTGTCATCCCGTTGTCTTAAACAGTTGGAGTGCATTTTGGGACCCGTAAAATGGATTATTCCAATGCAAAGTTAAATGCACAGGAACAATTCTATCTGTGGTTACAGTCATATTTAGTTAGTTCAGGTCTTAACTATCAAAGTACAGATCTTACAATAAAAAATTACTACTTCATCAAGCTCCCTGAAGCTTGAGCATTAATCATTAGGAAAAAAGTTGGTTTTGTCCATTTTTAAATCAAAACTTTTGATAAACTTCCTTAATATACTGAAATAAAAACTGACAATTTCATCTTTCAAAGTCTGTCATGGTGGCGATGTTGTTTGGGTTTTTTTTAATTGTATTGTACAGTGGCAAATTGCCCTCGTTTTTGTTGAACAAAACACCAAGCACTCAGTACAGATTTTGAGGGCTTTAAATCATAATTAGTTTCTTACATTTTTCCCCCCTCTGCCTTCCAAATCACTTATATCAGCACTGCATGTCAAGTTAACACAGGAAAAACATAAAGGGCATTTTGTGTTAGTAAGCACATCCAGATTCTACATACTCAAGGTGCTGTCACAGTCTCTGAACACAAAATTATATCTGCCTTTTAATCACTCCTAAGGAAGTGAAGAGGATATGGAATCAGCACTGCCAGTTTTTCTCCCAACAGAGCTCAAACATACACAAGTACCGTTTTGTTTTTGTTTTTTTAACTTGAAATCCTATATACTTCAAAATACAATAAAGTAGTAATTTACATCAAATAGCTCTTTCACAAGATACATATTCTACTTAGAAAAGCAACAACTGTTCACAGCACTAAGATATTAAGACAACAAAACAGTTTAAATCAATAAATGAAAAAGAAAATATTTCACTGAAACTGGATTTAAAAAAAACATAACAAAACCAAAAAGCCATGTGAAGTTTCTAAATGAGGATTACAACTTTATATTATTCACAGCATACAGCTCTAGTAACAAGATGTATTCTCAAATATTAATGTAGCATTTAAGCATAAACCTCTTGAATTGTTCCCAAAAACACTTTAAAAAAATCTCTTCTAACAAATGCCTTCAAGTTTGTCTTTTCTGGTAGTACCAGCATATCAAATTTATCATAGTTTTGAAGCTGGCAGTGAGAATATCAGCAATGTAGGCTGTGTCTTGAAATATGTCTAGAGACCACACGCGTCCTTATCCTCATTGTTGTGATCTGGGACACAGCAATATTCTTTCAACATTAGTAATGAAAGAGGTTTGAAGTATTTTTTTCAGAGATATTTCAACATGGTTCTTATTCAGTGTCAAGGGTTATATTTCAAAGTGTCAAGACTGCACTGTCAATGAGTCCGTCATCAGCTTTGTAATTACGTGATTAAATAGTCAGGTCTGTACTTAGAAATAATGCTTATGCAACACAGTACTTTATAGAGCTTCTTTAGGTCTGAATCTATAACTAAAAGAAAAAAAAAGGCTAAAAAACTACTCCAATTGATTTTCAATTTCTAGTAAATGACAGTAAGTTGTTTTATCCAAGAGCTGTACTTGTAGAACCAAGTTAGACAAAGAACAGATTCCAGCTACACCTGCATGTGTCTTCTGGCTCCTTTACAGTAAGATAACTACACACAAAGAAGGCTAAGCATAGTGTGCAAGACACTTTGAATCCGCCACATCAAATAAAACCTAAAAGTGAAAACATCAGATTTGAAGTGATCATAAAAAGCAGGTCTGTAAAGTAATTGTTTGAGAAGCGTGTGCGTGAAAAGGACAAAAGAACAGCAGTGGCACAGAGCCACAGAGAGAAATCACAGGCAATGCAGAAGCACAAAGACAAAAACAAGTGAAGATGCCACGAATGGAGATGCTGGGTGCAGTAAGAATAGCTTCAGTGTTTAAACACAATGTTTGTTTAAGCCTCAGCAATCTCAAGTGAATACACATACAACAAATACTAAAATCGCATCATGTTACCATCAAAATGATCCTATACACGCTCCAGAAATAGTCTCTATTCTTGTCCTAGAGGTTCAATGTAAAATCCATTATAAGTAATAGCTGCACTAAAGGAGGGTGGCGAGCAAAATCATTCAGAAAACAAGGCAGGGACCTACAGTTGTCACCTGTGCTGGAGAGCAGGCACGCAGCGAAAGGGGAAGCTGAACTGAACAAAGCAACTCTACTCCAGGCAGACTCCTGGAGCAGTTCCTACAGCTTATTAAAGCTGTCCTTTTAAACCGGAGCGACCGCTTCGCCCCGGGCTGGGCACGGCCCAAGGCCCTTGTTCAGTGTCTCTCCCGTGTGCGGACGGGGCCCTTCCTCTCCCTGGACCCCGGAGCCGGCCGGCGCCGTCTGCTCGGGGGTCCCACCGCGACCCCCTCACACACCGAGAGCGGCGGGTCCCGAGGGGGAAAGGCGGCGGGCGGGGACGATTTCAGCCCTCTCCCCTCTGCCCCCGGCCCGCCGCGGAGAAAAGGAGAGGAGGGGGAGAGAGGCACCGACACCCCCGTAACTCACCAGCTGCCCGGTGGCGGCGTCTCTTCCCCTTCCGCCATCGCTGTTGACGTGCCCCGCCGCCCGGCCGTAAAGCGCGCTCGGGAGGAGTTTTCCTCTCCCGACGCCACTCCTTCCCAAGCCTGTCCCCTTCCCAGCTGCTGTCCCCGCTCCCCCGTGCTGCCGGGAAGCGAGGGCGCGGCCGTACGGCGCGGAAGCCTGGCACGGGAGGGGGGCGGTGCGGCGGGAGGACGGGCCGGGGCCAGCCTCTCAAGCGCCCGAGGCAGGAACATCTGAGCGCTTTCGGTTTTCACAGAGCTCTGCCGTACGTAGGTTTGATTATTAAGCGCCTTCCCCCACAGTCTGCGATGTGCCACAGGCTGTACTCGGGGCGAAATCCACGAGATTTACACGGAGAACCCTGTTCGCCGGGGCTAAAAAACACCTGGTAGCGCCCATGAGCAACCCTGGGCAGGACAACGCTAACGCTCTGCCACGCACGTTCCTTACCCACCTGCACCCTCAAGGGGGAAAACCAATCAGTATTTCTCGATGGAAGTTCAGAAGAACCATTGGAGCGGTTTATACACGGAGTAACAGTGCCGCCTTATGATAAATTCCAGTCCTTACACTCCTCCGTTTCACTTCCACGGCTTGACTCGGGATGTGCTCCAGTAGGTAACGCCCAGACTTTAAGCGGGACGGCTCCTGTGGGAAAAGACACAGCCTCGCTTAACCTGCAGGCTCCGGCTCCCAAAGAGCCAATACCATCTGTTCCCAGGTAACACGCAACCTCTTCACGTAAAACACCTCAATCAAGAAAGCAGGTATTTTACGGTATAGAGCCGGGTTGAGGCAATCACACGGACGTTGTGAGGGAGCGGGTAACACTTTTTTTACTCCTTTCCTCTTTTTCTCGCCTCTTCTACATTATTCACTTTTTTTTTTAAAAAAAAAAGATAAACCCCAAAAGAAACAAACAAACAAACAAAAGCCCTCACATCTTAAACGCCCGCGTTTATTTTAGGAGAACAGTCCGTAAGACTCGCCCAAGGACCGTCTCTCCCCGAGCCCCGCCGTCCCCGCCCCCGCCGGCCCCCGCCAGTGCGCAGGCGCGGCGGCGCGCGGCCGGCGGTGGCGGCAGGGGGACACGCTGGAGGAGCCGTGTGGGACATTCCAGGTATTCCCCTCTGAGCTCGCTCCTCACCATGGCCTTGGAGCAAGTTTACTGAGATCCACCCCCCATCTCCTTCCGGCCCCCCTTCCTTTTCGTTTGCGTTTTGTTTTTTTTTCCCTTTCCATTTCCCCCCTCCCTCCAGCCCCCCGCCTTTCCCTTCTCCGCTTTTAATTTACTTCTGCAAGTTTTCCACTCTCACTCGCTGTTTCTCCCGTGTCTGCTTTCCCCTGCTTGCTACCGATGGCGGGTTTGCTTGTAGAGCAAAATCTCGGCGGCTGGTTGATGTCTAATCTCTGGCCCCTCCGACCTGGGATAGGCGATGGATAGGCAAAGGAAAATATAAGTACTTAGGTAGCAACAGGAACCCACTCAACAAAAATGCATTTAAGCGAGGTTTAAAAAGTGGGGCCAGGTGAAGGGGAAAAACCTCTTGCTTTGAATTCACAGCTGTCCCCCTAAGCCGTATTTTCTTCCAATGAAAATTTTTTCGTTTACCTGATGAAAGACTTTTGCATAATGTATTTTCCTTGTGGGTCCCTTCCAACTCAGAGTATTCTGTGTTCGTTACCGTAACAGGTGAACTTACTTACAGGCCTTGGAAACAGTTAATCCACAGTAGAGCATTTGGAGGGAAAAATACCTGTGGTGCTTGAAAAGCATCACCCATGTGCTCATTGGAGTGTGTCATGTGCCATGTGTTGCTGTAAAAGAGCAGGAGTTAAACAGCTTTTCTCCAGCCCTTGCTCTTTGGAGTATGGTACTCTGGCTGATTTGTCTCTTTGTTCTGATGCCTATAATATCTGTTTCCTGTACTTCTCTTTTTTCAATGTGTCTTGCAACCACAGGCTGTAAAGTGCTTTATCTGCAATGTTGAGATTTAGTATGGAAATTTAGGTAGATCTAGGCAGCAAAAATTACTTTAGGCTTTATACTGCCCTATTTGATTGATTAGTTTTTAAATTTATTTTTAATACAATATTGGTAAAAGTTGGGAGTTGTTGGGAGTTATCTGCATCTCTGGGAAGACTCCAGATCTTTGAATTCTTGATAATTGTTGCTTATTTTCTGTGAAAAGGTACTTGGAGAATAGTTAGAGAGGAAACAATATAAAAATTGTATGTATGTAATAAAGATGGGTCATGAGCCCTAATAAGGCTTCTGGGCATTCCATTTTTATTTTTAGTCTGATGCAGGTTCCTTAAAGAGTTCCAGTTCCCATGGTAAATGCTCTTCATTAGGAATGTTTCTTAAGAGTCTACCTACCAGCACATTCTCCCAACCACAGGTTTCATTTGGGGTAGGTGATCAACAGATTATTATAATGTTGGCAGCTTTCCTCTAGAAACTGGATACAGAGCAGGACTTTGATGATAAAATTTTGACATAATGGATAAACCATCTGACTTTGGGGTGAGACTGTGAATGACAGCTCTTCCAGTTGTGTAAAACTCCTTGGGATTTTTGCAATTGCATTTTTGAGCTCCTAAAATAATTCAGGTGGGAAATAACTTCTGGAGGTGCCTAATCCAGCTCTATATACCTTACTCCAAGAACATGCTTTGAATGTGTGATGAGTAATGATGACAGGTGAGAGTTGTGCAAACCATATACTCTGCTGTCCATAGCCCACCTTGTAAACTCGTTGGCAAGTTCTTTTATGGAGCCTGTTGTTGGATTAAGTTGAGACAAGCCATCAGTAAAGTAAGAACATCTGTTACTTTTATTTTGTGTAGCTATTTTTCACGTAAAACATGTAAAATCAGAGGTTAATTTGTACTGTATCTTATGGATACTGTAAAATGCATTAAAATCATTTGGCATGAAAGAGGAAATCAGGGGTTACAATATACAATGTAAGCAGCAATACAAGAAAATTTGTGAGCACCTTTTACAGACTTGATTAGTTTTATCTCTGTGAAACATCAAGTTTCATTAAAAAAAAATTTACTATTTGACTTCATTTTTTGACCTGTTCTAAAATAGCATCTCTGCCCCAACAGTAGATGCAGAGAATTTGAAATGTAATTTTTAAACACTGATCTTTTGCCAAATCCTTTATGATTAACCCTAGAATAAATTCTGACCAACAGAACATTCTTCCTAATAACTCAGCCCTCAAAGGTGTCTTAGATTTTAGCAACCTGTATTTAGAAACTTGTAGTTAGAAAAGGCTACTTTTAAGACGAGTATGAACATCTTTCATACACTTAGAGTATGAAAACACAATATACATATAAATGTATATCCTAGTATATGGATATATAAATAATTCTAAATTTGCTTTTGGCCACATCATTGGAAATCATTATTTTAGAATCCATATTAAAGGTTAAAAGTAGTTACTCTCACTTTGAGACATGAAAGTTTACCCTGCTGCAGGTGGTTTATAGATGTAAAAAAACCCCCACAAGACCCAAGAAAAAAACCCTGAAGGGATTACCCATCTGTTTACCTTATCACATGACACAAACTAAAGAGTCTTTCCCAGTAACTTCTTCATCCAACCTTTAACTTTGAGAGGAGAAGTGTGGAGAGAGTGGTTAAGGATTATTCTCTACTTAGCAGTGTTTTTTAGTGTTACAGATGCCCCATGTCATGCAACTGTAGGATTTCCTTACCTCCCTTTTTCCAGATCATGTCACAACTCTGTCCAGTCTTTAGTAGGATTTTTATATTGCATTCAGAGTTATAAGGGAGAGGATAGGGAATAATGAGGAGTTTGTTTTGTACTGGTGAAGGACACCAAGTTTTTCTTCTTCTCTCCATGAACAGAGCACTTCTCACAGCACTATAAATGTCTGTGTCTTGCCTGTAGCCAGCATGCCACATCTCTCAAGCAATTTGAGGGAGAGGGATGTACCTCTATTTGTCAGAAATTCTTCCAGTTTCCTCCTTTTGTGTTACCACTCCTTCTCTTTCGTTCTCCATGCTTTCTTTACCGCCCTTAATCCCGTAGAAGTGTAGTATCCCTGTTTGTCAGTTTTAGATCCTTAAGTAAGAGTCTATGTGGGCCGTGTTCCTCACAGGTAGAAATGAACCATGTCATCACAAGAGAGGAGCAAAAGACAGAAACTCTTGTATGGCAGCAGTACAGATAGGGGAGAAATGTAATATGGGGCCATGGAGGATGATTTGGCAGTGTTCTGTGGGCTCCAAAGCAAAGGATGCTGTTGTGGGAATTGATTTCTTTTGCCACAGGTTCTCTTTTCTTTCTGTAGACTGGCTATAAAGGGTGCCAGGTAGCATCAATTTGTAATGTGTGATTTGCAGCTACTGAGAAGCAGACTGTTCCTTGTCGTGCATTCAGTGGGAGCGAGCGCTGGTGCTTGACTGGAGCTGAGATCTGTTGGTGCACCTGTATATGGAGAGGTTTGCATCTTTTTTTTTTTTCTGGCTCATCAATGAGTTGCTGTCCCTTATGATTGAATTTGGTCATGTATTTGAAGATCTCTCTGGTAAGCATGCCAAGTTGACAGCTGCTGTTTGAAATCTGTGTTTCTTCACATTTATATACACTCAATTTTGCAAGTTGCAGAATATTTAGTGGTGTGCTTCTGTGAGCTCTATTTGGATCTGGACATACATGACATGGAGTCTTGAACTTGACAGCTGCAGATTTAATGAATAAAATTGGAAACCTTTTCTTTTTATTATGAAAAAGTAATTTTTTAATGTCTTCATTTTGACACAGGTGTGTCTTGTGCAACACAAGCTGAAATAATTTTTCAGTAGAGTGATCTTTCTAAACTTTTCCTTTTCTTAAGTACTTCTAGAGAACTTGTGAAGCTGTTGAGGGAAGCATAGGTTTCTTACACATTTGCAAAAATGGTCACGCAGCAGTGCTAACGTGTTGTACTGTCTCAGTGGTTAAGTTAAACTTTTAGATTTGAAATAAAAGGGCAAAGTCAGGTAACTGAATGCATCAGAATCTTTCCTTGCTTCAGGAAAAGGACTGCAGTTCTGGCTATGGCATTGTGATCACCACCAGCTTTTGCTTTATGTAGGAGTTAGGATTTGGCAGTTCTTAAAGAAACACCTATGTGAAAGGAGTTTTCCCAGGAATTATCTGTTGAGCCATTTAGACTGTTGGAATGCACTCTGTTAGGGAAGAAGAATGAGGGAGACATTAATATCAGAGAAATAAATTAATTTTTATATTCTAAATCAGCCACTCATGTTAGTTGGTATTACACAATTCCTATGGAGACATTCCTTGCAGTAATAGTATTCTGTTAGTTTTAACTTTCTGTTGAACAGTGAGAAATTTTCTTGTCAGAGCAGCAATTTCTACGTTTCTGAAAATTGAAAACAATGGCCATGGAGTCTCTCCTAAAGTTTTGATTTTTTTTTTTTGAGTGCATTGACTGAAAGGAAACTTTGAGTGAACTTTAAGTCTTTTAAAAGCAAAAAGGCAGATTCTCTCATGGATGAACCAGAACTGATTGTGCAAAGAGTTTTTAAATAAACTCCTTCACTAGGAACGCAGTTACATATTTTACTTGAATGTGAGCAGTTGAAAGGAAGGTCAGGATTGTGAAGGAACACAAGAGCAAAACTGCACTTCTGTGTAAGTCACAACTTTCTGTTAAGCGTGATACTAATTTTGATCAGCTCCAAAATACTGTTTAAGTGAGCCAAAATCTGATTACTGTAGTCCAGATGGTGAAAGTTTATATAGCTAATGCAAACAATATCCATCTTGAGTCTTGCATCTGCTTCCCTAATATAACATCTGCATGAATTCGAGTGGAGATAATCACGCTAGTTAAATCATTAACGAGAGAATTGTTGATCTTCAAATCATGCTTTTAAAGTGATGCTTGGCACAACAAGGAGCTCTGCATTTCTCTAAGTTCAGTGTGTTATATGAGAGCAGATTTCTCCATCCCTCTCTTCATTCTGTCTTTACTACCGAACACAAGATATCCATACTGAAACACTTCTTGATTAGACCAACTTTGAAAACAAAACAACACCTCCTGCAACCCCTCTTGAAGTGATTGACCTCATTTTTATAAATCTACTGAGCCAAACTTACTATTTTTATTTATGGAACTTGTCAAAATGGAATTTATAGTAGAAACTTATTTGTGTCTCCTGTGCTTCTGTACTGTGAGAGCCAAAATCTGAAATTGCACCAGAAAGAAGGGGGCATAGCTTGGTCTCTGCAGACATGGAGTTAGTTACCTTTGGCTCCTAAGAATTTGACTGTCTCCTGATGTCCTGTGATTGGTGGCCATAGATATGCTGACCATGTGGATAGTTCCAGATTTTTCCCCAGTGGAAACAACTGCTATTGAGATTCAGGTTGCTTAAATCTATTTTAATGTCATAGATCATAGAAAATCATTTACCTTTTCCCTCCACTTTGAAGGCAGGTTTTAGACACAGTCCTTATAATGTGTATCTTTCCAGCAGCGCTGTCTTGGAGTGGTTTGTTGAGGTGCCCAGCAGGAATTTTGGCAGGTGCTTTGGTTGTGCTGGTAGGCTTTGGTTTGGGGATCCGAGTTGGAGCTGACCGACGGAAGGCGTTGGTGATCTTGAAATAAACCGAGAAAACAAGAAATGCATTAGCTTGTTGATGTCTTTTCCACTTTGTAAATCCGGCATTGCTCTTAGAACTGTTTGTCTGAACTTCCTTGATCTTGTTGGTAATGAGAGTGAAGCTTTGTGTTTAACTTACCTACTTGATTGCTGAATATCAAAGAATCTGAATGGATTGAAATCCAGACTATAAATAAGAAGGGTTTCCTGGCAGTCCTCTGACTAGAGCATCAGCCCCAGGAGCTGAGTGAGTGATGCAGTGCAAAGGCTATGAACTGTGTGACTTCTCTGCGTGAATAATCAGAGAACTTCCACATGCAGAAGCAAGTCTTGATTCAGTCCTGAGTAGCAGACAATACCTAGCTCATACTGTTGAACGAGATCATTCTTTGACAGTGACCAGTGTACACAAAATTAATGTATTTGTAAGAGAACTCTCCCTCCAGAATCCATCATAGTCCTATTTAATTGCAAAGAGATAAATATACAAGAAAAAAAAAGTTAATATGTGTGCTTAAAAGGGGTGAAGAACTGTCAAGGCAAGAAGCTTGTTTAAAAGGTACCATTATCTGAAACCAGGATTAAACACACACTACTCATAGAAAAGCTTTTTGTACCATAAGCCTTCTTATATACCTTTTTCAGTCGAGCTCAGGGTAAAAGAATTTCAATGAAGATTTTTTTTAAAAACATGAAATTGAAATGGTGTTCAAATTAGAACAGTAGAAAACAGTGTCAAAACTCTGGTAGATTAAGTATGAATAAGAATGAGCTAGATCAAAACAAGGTTTGGGAAACAACTTCCTAGTGGCCATAAAGGTCTGCCTGGAATTACTTAAAAAAAAAAATCACAATTCAAGAGCCTGCCATTTACCTGTAGCTAATTGCATATGATGGGGGTTCTCAGAAGGATAAAACTGAGCCAACATAAGATCATTGCATGTGCTCATGGAGGAATTTGTGAAAATTTGCGCATCACGTTTGTGCTTAATGGATCGTGAGTAAAGAAAAAAAATCAACCTGGGTTTAATTGGAGTTTGAGAACAAAAAGATAGAATAGTACCAATCTCCCAGAACAATGTGTCTGTTTCTAAGAGTTCTGAAGGAGATGATATTTAAAATTGCAGAATCCTTATTAGTGGTGTGGAATCCACCACTGAAATGGTTGGCGATGCCAGAGGAGTGTGATGCCACTTTAGAGTAAAGCTTCACAAAAGATTCTGAAGTATAACTGCTGAACTGATCAAAATGACAATAAGAAATAAGATGTTCACCCACATGGTTACTAATTTTGTGATGGGAAAACATCCACATTTCTTGTCGAGGATAATATTCAAGTATGTTAGATATTGTTATATAGGTGTATGGTGTCAGATTGTCTAATGATGAACAAGGGTTTGTGCAGTGTTTGTGAATGTTTCCAGGCACTGTAACTGTTAAATTGGCAGTAGCATTGGATTGTTTGAATAATCCACACTGTGGATCTGTCTCTGGAAAAATTTGGAGGCATAGCTTGAGAGCTGGTCCAGAGGAAGGTTCATTTGGCATAGGTAGTTTGTATCCAGCTAGGCTGCTTTGTAGGTTCAAGAAGTTTCCTGTAGTTTGGGTTGACCCATGTCTAAGGGAAAGATATAGGAAAGCCTTTAACTTGCTGTTGCAGGTGTGACCATGTAACATTTTGATTAAAAAAAAAAAGACTTGATAGTGGTCTCTAACAAAAGAGTATAGTTTGAAACAAAGTCTGTGTGGAAACTGTGGAAAAAGAAGGAAAGTTCTCATGGGTAAAAGAGGATAGAAAGCAGAACAGAGACCTAGTTTTATTAGTATTGTGGAGACAGCATCTAAACCTGAGACACTCTGGTATTCAACATATTCACAAACTGCATGGAAAGACAGCACTGAAATGATAACATTTGCATATGGTGTAAAAGGGAGGTTATTAGAAGCAGAGCTGATAGTTCATGGTATTGAGTAATAATAAAATAATAATAAAAATGTGTATCAGTTCAGTGTTAGCAAATTAAAAATAGTATACATAGGGAAAACTAGTTCCATACAGTAGTGACATCTGTTGTCACTCAGAACACAAGATCTTGGAGTCACAAAATTGTCCTCATTGCTCAGTGACTGGCAATTATTAAAAAAGTAGCAGGCAGTTAGGAATTACTAGGAAAAGAAAAAAATCAAACCTGTCATTTTTTTAGTGTGTAAGTCCAAACCATGCCTACATTGTGAATGTTTTGCAGAGTTCTGTCCAAACAGCTGAATGGAGAGGAAAAATGAAGAAAATGTGGCAAAGGCTGACACTTATGGAATGTCTTCTGCATGAAGATTAATAACATACACTAGGCCTTTGCAAGTTTGGGAAATAGATTGTGGTGAGAAAAATAAACAGCAGAAATCTAACCATATGGTGAATAGGGAAATTCTCAGATGCCTAAGAGGGCATACACTGAAGGTAGGTTAAAGGTATGTGGAAAGTATTTTCCCTTGTTAATGAGCTGTGAAACTCTTTGGAACAATTTTTGAGTGATGATATAAATTGGTTTGGAGAGAGTTTAGACTGCTTTGTGGCATCCATCGAGGACTGCTAAACACAGATGTGATGTGGATTTCAGCTGTGGATGACGCTAAGTTGTAGGCTGCTAGAGGCTGGGTTTAGTACTCTGTCTTAAAGTTTGTAAGCAGTTACTGCTGGTCACTACCAAAGATGAGATATGTAGTCTGAGTCTGAGTAAAACGTCTTTCATATTTTTATTTTAAAATCGGAAAGTTTCAAGTTTTTTTTCTTTTTTTTTTTTTTCTTTTTTAGTGTATTGAGAAAGGAAAGAGTTTGGCTTTGAAAGTGAATAGGAAAAAAGGAGGTGCCTTTTTCTTTGCCGTATTCTTAAAGATTTTTACCGCTAGGTGGCAGCGAAGTTTTCCTTTTGCACCGCACCACGGCATTTTCACTTAAACTGGACTGAAACTTGTCGTTAAATGCTGAATAAAAAAAATTAACATGCATTTTCATGATAGTCTTGAATGTTAACATTCGTATCGTTAGTATGCACCCCCAAACCAAAAAGCATTTTGCTTCAGTTACCAAAGGAAACGTGTTAAGAAAGAAGGGGTTGATGTTGGAGGGGATAATTATGTTACTGCCATATGGCTTCCCTTGAGTACTGAGTTGGAAGAGTTTACCTCTGACTGTGTGATGTGGCCTGGTAGATGAGGCACAGAACTGAGAATAAAATGTTTGGGGGGGCTATTACTAGCAGGCTACTGTCTGATGTAATTAGATGACAGAAAACGTGTCTGTGTCCCAACTACAAAAAGAATTAGATTAACCATAATTTTCTGTGTATATTGAGATGAATAGATAAAAATATCTATGTAGAGTCTTGTGTACTAAAGTGTGATTGTATCTCCAAGAAAGAATTGTGTTTGGTTGTTTGGTTTTGGGGTTTTTTTCCGACAAGTGTTCCAGTTCAGAGATTGCATAAGATTAAAAGTGGTTGGAGTATTCTGTCTGTATTTGATTGAACAACTGTGTTAGTACTTCAAGAAGATATTTGTAGGTCCAGATTCTTACAGTTTTTGTGCATCTAAATGGTATTCAGGCTCTAAGGTTTTATTAAATCAGTGGGAAGTCAGGTGTGAAAATACCCTGGCCTATAGTTTGCACAAGGAGTCTGGAAAGCACTTGGAAGTAACTGTATATAAAATTCTGCATTGGTTTAGTTGTACGTGTACTGAAACTGCTTGTGCAGTCCTCCTAGTTCCTTCCCTACTAGTTAGTATAGAGGCACATAAGCAGATACATTGGCTGTGGCATGCTTGTACCTTAGGATGTCTGGTTTGTTTTTTGGACAGACCTGAATGACTAAAAAAACCCTATAGGTAGATTTTGGTGGGCTTTTTCAATTTGATTTTTAATTCTTATCTAGGTATGGGAAATCCGTGTGCATACCAAGAATCTCTTCGAGTGTATGCACCCTTTCTACCAATTTATTTTCTCCTTCAAGAGGAATGGGTTTTAGTCTCCCTATTTTTTTTGGACTCTCCTTATATTCTGAATTTTCTGGCTCTGTGTTCCTCATTGCTGTTTAGTTATTGCTCCTTGAGTTCCCATATGTAGGCCACTTTTTATGTCTGCTATCATTCCAAGGAATAGAAGAGGAAATAAGATATGTTTATCCTTCAAAAAACAAGCTGAGTTGCCGTTCATGTTCTGGAAATGCCTTGTTTGCATTAATGCTCTTGAAACATCCCTAGAAACAAAATGTTACCTGGGAGCGACCGGAGTTGTGCAGTTTTCTTTTACTTAATGCATCTAAACACAGTTAAGTAAGCATCAGTAAATAATTGCTGTAATAGCAAAGACAATTAACCCCAAAGACATTAAACCATCCCAGTTTTTTAAATTATAAGATTATGTGGTATGCCTGTCTGTAAATATAACAGCACCATCTTAGTTTAAGGCAGTAGACTTGGAAAATAGCAAAGTTTTTGTCCACAGTGCTTGCAGTTGTAGAAATAAGCAGTTAAATCTAATTTTCAAGACAAGCAAGAAAGCTGCATTTTCATAAGGATCTTTTAACTTAATTTTTCAATTAACTTCTGAAGTAGACATCAATCACCTGTAATAGGAATTGGCAGAATAAAGGGTGTTAGAATGAGAACTCATACACAGAGGATGTGTTTGTTGTCTCAAGGTGAAGCAGGCACTTCGGGAGTGGGGACAGATACTGCACAGGTGACAATTGGGACCTTCTCACACATTAATGTGAAAATAGCCCTTCTTAATTTCAGGAAACCAACTGAGAAAGCATTCTTTGAAATACCAGGATATATATATTCCATACACACCTTTTTCCCTCCCCCACGGGCACAGAGGTGGCTTATTTTATTTATATGGGCCATCAGATATTGTAACACAATACAGTGATTGCTTTCTGGGAAGTGGACTAAGGCAAGCGTCTGTGGGAGTGTCAGGGAGAGAAAATATTTCTG